AAAAATAAGCTATGACATTCTCATGGCCAGAGCCAGAGTCCAACAGTAGCTCCAGGGGCTACTGTGGACATGCATTGGAAATCCAGATAAGTCAGAGATGTCACAGTGGCGGTCAACCCCATGAGGCACTCCTCTCCTCTCCTCCCCAGCCTGGACAGCCCGAGTCTCCTCTGCAGTCCTGGGGACATCCAAAATCTTCATCAGCTAAAAGGCCTCAGAGCTATCTTTGACAACATCTTTAAACCCAACGACAGAGGCCTGGGTCCCCTGTGTACTGCTGACCTCTCACATGGTGGTACAGGAAGACCTCTGTGGCCCAAGCAACCTGACTTTCCAGCGTCCTCCCCAATGTTTGGCACAGGCCCATCTCTCTGCAGTCCTGGAGGTGCTGAACCCGCTAACAAAATTTTCCCAGGGTCCCAGTCTCCTCTTTGTTTCCCACCCATGTTTCTCCAACAAAAACAAGGCCTCGGCCAGGATCCAAGCTCTGGGGTCTGCAGGGAAGGGGCTCTGGGACCCAGCCCCTGTCAGGCATGTCCTTCCCCTGATGCTGACACCAGATCCCCATGGCTCCCAGATGCCAATGGAATGAATGCATTTAGGTCTCTTAAAAAAAGCTTTGCTCGGCTTTTTTTTTTCTGTGGAGGGCAGGAGAGAGAAATGAGCAACTAGCAGACGCCATGACGAGGGGCTGAGTCATTTGGAAAGACATTTCCCGAGTGGCCTTTTCCATCTTACACATCTTCTGCTGATGGTGCATCAGCCCCACAACAAAGGCAACTCAGGCCATTGTTGACACTGGGATGTATCACTAGTACCCAAGCTGTCACAGCAGCAGATAGACCAAGGGACCGGCCACAGAGAAGACAAGCGGGACCTTCGCTCCACCACATTCACTCTGACATAGAAAGACAGCTTCCAATGAAAACAAGTTCCAGGGACCCAACCCTCTATGGATGGGCAGATGGGAGACCTCTGGCTGCAATGTTTGTTCAGAGAGGCTCCAAATATTTTTTCCAGGGGCAAGGGAAATGATTTAAAGCAAAACAAAACATAACAACGGCAACAGCACAAGTTAAGCTCTTCCCACCACAGAGCACTTCATGGCTGCAAAGACAGTCAAATCTACCTATGGGAAACTATATGCTTAAAACCCACTGCCTTCCGGGGGCTGGCCCTGTGGCCTAGCAGTTAAGTTTGGTGTGCTCTGCTTCGGTGGCCCAGGTTCAGTTCCTGGGCACGGACCTATACCACTTGTCGGCAGCCATGCTGTGGCGGCGACCCACATACAAAGTAGAGGAAGATTGGCACAGATGTTAGCTCAGGGTGAATCTTCCTCAAGCAAAAAGAGGAAGATTGGCAACAGATGTTAACTCAAGGTGAATCTTCCTCAGAATAATAAAAAAAAAAATCTACTGCCTTCCAACCATGACTCCTGGTTGACAAGACCACTGCCACTGGACTCAGTGACTGGTTAGCTGAGACTTACTAATTTGTTTATCCACTGATTCCATACTCCAACCTCTGTTTATGCTCTTTCAGAAAGGCAGCTATTCTGCACTTGAAAGGCAATCCCCATCTCTTAGGTTCCCCTGAAGTTTCCTGACACAACCACAGTGACCTTCCTCAGGAGGGGCCATTGATAAGATGACAAGTTTCAGCTCCTTTTTCCCCTGCCCACACCCAAGAAAAATCAAAGACACGAGGGACCAGAAGAAGTTGGGGTCTGTTCCCATTATCAGTGCCAGAAATGAGATCTATTGTGCTTCTCACCAAAATCCTTCTGTTCACTAGGGCCTTAAAGATGGTCCTGCCACTGCCTGCAGGAGGGTTACGACTCTGCGAAAATCAGTTCTGCATCCTCCCTGAAGTCTCTCCTGAAAACTGAGGTTCACGCTATTCTTCCCCGACTGAATTATAAACTGAAGTACTAATATATAAGATATCGTCTTGTTTCAGGTTTCAGTGGTCTTCATATGTTGTAACAGAAAGGACATTGGGCTTACAGCCAAAAAACCTGATTTCTATTCCTAGTTGTCCATTAAATGATTCTGGGCAGATAGTTTCTCTAAGCCTCAGTTTCTCCTCTGTGGAAAGGGGTAAACTATTGCCCTGCCCGCCTCAGAGACCTTGCTTTGAGATTCCAGTGAGACAACCTGTGAAGGAATTCAGACATTGGAAAGCCTTTTGTAAATGTAACGAAACGACACTATGACCTAATGCTCTTGTGGTGAATCCTTCAAAGGCAGGAGTATGCCTCAGTTGTCACTTATCACTCCCCCACCCCACCTAACAGAGTGCTTACACACAGATGGGGCTACTATATTTGACACTCAGGGACTTTCAAACTTAAATGTGCTCCACTAATGTTATGGATCTGGAATAAGCTTCATTCCGAACTCTTTCAGGCATAAGCAAAACATCCTTTCCTCTGCTCACCCCAGATCCAGTGGTCTTTTGTGAAATGACTCCCTGCTGTGAAGCCCTTCTGGGATGTTAAAGTCATGACCCTCAACATGGCTGGAACATCTCATCTCTGGTCTCAAATCTCAGCGCTGCAGGATCTTTGATCCTCCTCTCCATTCTTGGCCTCTCATTTAATTCCTTTCCAGGGCCTTTGTATACAAGTCCACATGAGGCCCCTAAATACATTCTAAATACTGCCAAATCTCTGCAAATAAGAGCTTATTCCCTGAAAGTGCCTGTGTGATTGGTCTCCCACGTAACGAAGGAGCTTTATATTTTTAGTTTTCTTTCCATACAACAAACACTATTAATAACGTTCTACTTTCTCCAGAGATGATATGGATTAGACTAAATGGAAAGTTACCATGGCTACCGCAGTGTTATTTTTGGTATGAGAAACTCATGCCAAGGGAAGCAGCATACGTGGTCAAGAACCAGAGCTTCATTTCCGCTTTGCTATCAGGCAATCGATCCCAATTTAATTTTGAAACTCTCATTGCAACGGAAACTAATTACGAGCGGCAAGACCTGAAGCCCCTAATTAAAGTGGGAGTCAATAAAGCAGGGCAGTATTATCACTGGGACAACACTGGCAGGAGGAGGGATTTACAAACAGGCGGATCTTCTTTCCCAGGTAACTATCTAAACAAAAGAAGACAGGGAAGCACATCTGGAGGGCCAGCGGGACACCCTAAGTTGGGTCTGCAGGATTCAGTTTCTGGTGAGTGAGCAGGTCAAGTCCTGCCTCTGTGCCATGAAGGTGCAACAAACGAGGGGTGGGGTAGGAAGCCCAGGTGTTTCTACAGAGTGGCAGTCGGGGGGCCGGCCTGGTGGTGCAAGCAGTTAAGTGCTCGCGCTCCGCTGCGGCGGCCCGGGGTGCGCGCCTTCAGATCCAGGCGCGCACCGACGCACCGCTTGTTAAGCCATGCTGTGGTGGCGCCCCACATAAAGTGGAGGAAGATGGGCACGGATGTTAGCTCAGGGCCAATCTTCCTCAGCAAAAAGAGGAGGATTGGCATCAGGTGTTAACTTAGTGCTGATCTTCCTCACAAAAAGAGTGGCAGTCAGGGGCAGGCCGGGAAGGGATGAGCTGAAGGACGGCTGGTTCAGACTAACCCCATACCAAAGAGAATCTCATCACTCAGACCCAGATAGTTATGGGCTGTTTCCTCACATATCAAACGCTGAGCTGCACTTTTCTGAATTAGCAGAAGTTGGCTTATGGAAGGACTTCCATTAGAGTGAAAACCAACTGCCAATCAGTGAAGTGCACGATTCCCTCTGGGACTTCCTGGTTTATCTTTGACAGCTTTAAAATACCGTTAATGGCATGACTTCATCTGCCCCATGCTAGAACAATCCATATTTAGGTCAGAAACCACGTGGTCCTCACATCACCCCACTGAGCTCCAGGATAGAAAGATGTTCTTAAATCAGGGAGGGAACACTTTTAACCGAGGATTAATTACTCACCCTCCTCCAAATTCCTTGACAAAGAGACAAAAATGAACTTTGATGAATGGTTAGAAAACTACTCTGAATACTCCGACAGGGCAGTCAAATCAGAAGAAGCCTATTCTCTTCTCATTCGGTGTATATTTTTATACAAAGGGGTCTTTCTCTCTTTAGCAGGTTTTTCTGTAAAATTTTCCTGATTTTTTTTTTAAGCATTATTGAGAACAAAGAAGCAGAACATCATAACCCTGTTGTAACTCTTTCAATGGCAGCGAATAAGTCAGTCCCTCAGGAGAGGGAGCTCTGCCGTCAGGGTGGGAAGAATTCCTTGAGAGCTTTCAGACTCCTGTTTCCCAAGAATAAATGAGGTCCACAGTCATACTGGGGCCGACAAGATTTTTCCAAGGCAGACAAACCCCCAGATCAATGAGAGCCTATATTAATTTAATTCTTAGTGTTGTCACAGGCGGGGAACATAGAACACAGGCCTCGTCTTGAATTAATCAAAAGAGATTTTTTGAATATTTTCATCAAAATAGTGTATTGACATATTACTCAAAACCTTTGGCAAAGGTGTCTTGTAACAAATGTTAAAAATGGGAGCGGTAAAGAAAAAGACAGTTCTGAATATTGAAATGTTTTGGAACCTGGCTAACCTTTGAAAGGAGATATCTGGTGCTTTCTGTATACTGACATAACGGACCAGCAGGTTAGGGGGACAGAGGGACTCAGCCACCTCACATTCACTGTGAGCGAGGGAACAGAAAAAGAGGCAGAGAGAGAAAGAAGAAAAAAGCTCCATCTTATTGAGCTCCTTTGGTATAAAATTTCAGCCCAAGGTGACAGAAAGTGTCCCCAAAAACAGAGCTTCATCCCAAAACACAGTCAAGGAGCTCCCTTCTATGCAGCTGGATTCTGCTTCCAGGGGAAGCACCCAGGGCTTATGAAGATCCATCAGTCTAAGAAAGTGCCTCTGTTTTTATAGCCAGCAGGCTGCAAACTTTTTCCAGTACCTTTTAGAAAACGAATGCTTTCAAAGCCCCAAAAGAATTTTAGATGTACCTCACAACCACACCTACCTTGACTCCAAGAAAAGACTTGCGGTGATAGAAGCAGCACAGAGCTGCCGAGAGGGCGTGGAAAGCATTGCATTCCTTAGGCATCTTTCGGTCTTCGGTCCCTGGACCACACACTTTCTCTAGGGTTAGAAGAAAGGGGGCTTGGGGCGTTAGAGCCCCGTCCCATGCAGCAGCTACCCTGCTCGTGCCCACAGTCAGGCGGCTCCTTCCTCCAGGCCAGGCTGGGACTTTTCCCCTCCGCTGAAGCCAGTACGATCCACTCGCTCAATTCCGGCAGGCTGGTGTCCAGCCTGCCATGCACACAGTGCCAGAAATTCTCATGTGACCAGACTTGTTTTCTGATGAAATTCTAACCTCCCTTAGAAGAAGCTTTGGGCTTTAGCTGTCCCCTCAATTTAGAGACCCAGCAGCAATCATTATCCCCCTCAGGCAGCCTGTCCTCCCCAGGGGTGAAGGCACCAGGCATCTGCTCCTAGAGGCTTTGTCTGTTTGCCTCTCACCCCAGCACCTGGGGTTAAGGAAGCACACGTCACACCGCCTTGTGACAAGACAGAGGCTCCTTTGAGAAAAGGACTTAAAGGTGACCAGGGTGTGACTTTCCCCTAGAGCAATCCTAGAAGTCCTAAGAAACCTCAGACAGGATCCCTGCCCCTACTCTCCCAGCCCACCCCCAGAACTGTTTATTTTTAATTAGGATGCTCCTGGCAGCCAGTTTGCAGCTGATAACGTTGGCACAGCCATCACTATTGGCAAAGCAATACTGCCTTTTGGTGTTTAATTAGCAGGTCTGTCAGCAAACACCCTGAGCGCCCTGTGCCCTCCCCACCTGGCCGTGCCGTCTGTTGGGAGGATGGGGGATAGGCTGTGTACCCTCCTCTGACCCAACTGTTTGTCTCACTCCCCTCCTTCGCTTGAAATACTTCACTTTAATTACCCGTCTTCACTTTCATTGCCCACTCTGCTTAACCCAGATCCAGCACACAAACCTCGTGTCCAACGCAGCCAAGCAATTCTCCTGTGCTGAGGCCTTTACCCCTACCAAGAGCCTCCTAACACCTTCAGAAGAAAGTAATTGCTTTTCTTCTTTCATTCCAGTTACAGCGAATGCTCAACGATTCTGTTCTTTATGAAACCCAGGTTTCTGCCCGTAGCTCTTCCTCTCCTAAGGTTCCAAATGTTAACTTGCTGTGGCTTCGGCCACTCAAAAATGGAATGTGTCCTCAAGCTTTCTAAACTTTGTACAGGCAGAAACTTGTAATGAGGAAGAAACAGAACCTATTCAGTCCAGAAAGGAACAACACCAGATGAGGCATGAGGAAGGCATGAGAAATATCCAGCGAGATTAGTGTCAAATCCTCAGGAGGCCTCGGCCTTTGCACTAGGTCAAGTTGGCCTGTAAAAATAGAGAATTGCTTGTTCAATGCCTGGTGAGCAGCTTCTATGCTTGAATGAGGGCTATGGAGAGCAACAGATTTCACATTCACTCAAAGGGACAGAGGTTCAGCCTAATAAACACATCGAACGTAGGCGGGGATGGAGGTACAGAGGGTCTGTCACCACAGGAACAGCCAAGGGGGGCTGACTTCCTTTCTGCTCCCTCAACTGGCTTCCTCCCTCACTCCTTCTCCTCCATGATTCTGGAGGTCAGATGTGCAGTCCTGGGAGCTCCTGGGCCCTGGGAAGTCCACCTGAGAACGTGGAAGCAAGCACCAAGCGGGGTAACCCTTCTGGGGTTTTTGAGCTGGAGGGGCCCTTGGAGATGGTCCAGCTGGTGGGTCAATACTGTCCTCCAAGGTCCAGGTACTATATCCACGAGGATGCATTTCTCTGCCTTCATTTCTATTAGATGGAGTTCAAAGGGTAAATCCACATGAGCAGCCGGAGCCCAGGGCCCCAGCAGTTTTGTGGGGATGACTCATCAATCAGGCCAATAGCCACCAGGTAAGGGGCCCAGTTTTCACTGGCTATTCCCCTTTGGCAGGAAATAACAAGCTCTATCGGGATAAGCAACTCCCCAAGAGGCTAAAAAAGCATCGTTCCCCGTTCCCCGACCAGGGAAAAGGGAGGGAGGCAGCTCCTTAAATCCTGCACAAAAATTCAGTGAGGTTAGCCAAAACCTCTGAATTCCAAGACCCTACCCCCAGAAAGCATGAATGAAGGGCATTCCTGAAAGAAAATAAATAACTCAGACATGTAAATTACATAGAATTATGTGGTCAGGTGCTCCAGGGCCAGGGTAAAAATAAAATAAAAGATGCTCAGGTCACTGTAGAATCACAGTTCCTGTCACTTGGGGCTTACTCTGTTTACTCTGAGAAATGTCTCCAAAATACCCAAAGCATGGGTTCCGTCAGGATTAAAGAATGGGCTAATCTTATTAGGTAACTGTTTCCTAAGCACTTTTTATTTTTTTGTTCCACACCAAAAATAATTTCTGAAGCAGCACTCAAAGGTTTTAATCAATTTTCTCCCGAAACGGCCAAGGAGAGAGACTAAAATAACATGTTGTTATTGCAACTAAAAATGATAATTGCCTGAATTCGCAAAGTGCCCTTCACTGATTTGTTATGCTTTTAAATGTCTCCCATCCACACTGATCAATTCCCCCACGTTCTCCCCACAATGATTATTCTATTCTAGTTACAAAGAAACAGAGGACCAGAATGGTGTGTCACTCAGAAGAGAACAAAGGACCAGGGACAGCAGACTGTGATTGCAGAACCTGGTATTTGATCACATGGATACACAAATAAGAGATATTTTAACTTCTTACAATTAAACCTGTTACTTGCACAGCCCAATGAAAAGGCCATGGACATGGGGCAAGGGGTCACTCTCTGACGATGTGGTACATGTGATTTAGGACCAGTCAAATTTGGATTCAGCGTTTTCTAAACAGCATGCCCTTCAGAGTTCCATGTCTCTAATGCAACCCTAGGGACTGAAGGGAGTTGCCGAACAGGCAGCACAGAGCTCTGGGAAAGCACTGTGCTCTCTAGCGCCCCCCTCTGGCCCTCTGGGAGGCTCACTCCTCCACATCAAGGAAAACACCTGTGAAAAAGCCACAGCTGGGCAGCCAGGTGGACCCTTGAAGGAAACCCCCATGACCTCAGGTCAAATGTTGCCTACCCCATCTGGGAAGAGGGTTAAAGCTGGCCAGAGGAAGGCGGCTGCACAGGCGTTGCCCTCAATGCCATTTTTTCCTTGGGCAGCTCTAATACTAACCTGCCCTATTTAGTAACCATGGAAACAGGAGCTGCCTGCCAGCCATATTCCACACACCCGTCCTGTCGGCAGCAGTCCCTGGGCTGAGAGCCTGCATGAAATCCCTTTCCCAAAGTGCCACAGTCCCCACTAGAAGATCAGGCTCCCGATGAGATGGACCCTCTCTCTGACAAGGCATGGGGGAGAGGGCTGCAGGGAGAAGATGTCCCTACCACATACCTGCTGTTCCTGCTTCAGGGCAACCTGGAAAACAATGCTGCCTGTACACCCCGTACCCCTCCCCAAAGCCAGCCCAGAATCGAGGTGTCAAACCTTACAAGCACTGAGGCGCTTTTGATCATTGTCAAGCAGCCTTGCGGACAGTGACACTGCCCACCATGGGCGGCCGGCTGTGACCCAGCGGCAGTGGTCCAAGGCTGCAAGGCCTGGGTCATCCCTGCCCACAGGGAACACACTGGAACATCAGTCAAGGAGTGGACACCAGTCACTGTGGTCAAAACAGCTCAACCTCTCATGGCAGCCACTGAGACTCTTCACCTCTCCAGAAAGATCCATCCTTCCCGGCTTTTTGCCTTCACTAAACCCCAGCAATCGGGCTCTTGGTGAACAAAGACAGCTTCCATTTCTCCTGGTATCCCAGGAGGCAGGGAAGATTAACCTGGACCGGCCCAATCCTAAATATCTAAGGCCGCCCTCTGCAGGCTCAGCTCCTTGAAGAGCGTCATGGCACGTGCCTGGGAAGCCCCGGGTGGAAAAGGGGCACCTTTATCAGCAATCCTGCTCCCCAAAGCTTCCTAGCCTGCCCGCGTGATTCAGAACACAGTAAACCAGGAGGCTAGTGGGGAGGGGGGAGCTCGTGTGTCTCAGAGCACACACCCTCACACAAAAGCAACAGGGCTCGAGAAGAGCTGGAAACCACGGAGGATGAGGAGAGGCCATCAGGGAAGAGGTGACCTCCTCCTCTCGCCAGACTCGGCAGCTACACAAGCTGCCAAAGACAGTTTGACACATTTGCCTATGTGCAAATGTGATTTGTTTCTTGGTCCAAAAGGGAATGCAAACTGGACTCGGAGGGAGGAGGGCAGGAAACGCTGGCCCAGCTCTCTGGGCCACTTTGTGTGTTGCCATGGACAAGACGTTCGCTTGCGCTGGTGAACACAGAGGGTGCTTTTACGAGTGTCGGCTGTCCATATCTCGGTCTGACGGTTCCCCCGGATTCCTCAGGGGATGAAAGAGTATGGCTGTTAAGTGGTCTCTGTCCGGAAGTGGTATTGATCTGCCTCACATATAAACAAAGACACTAAGGACGGTATTCACGAACAGATTTCTGTCTACTGGGCCTTATGTCCCCCCCACAAATTTCTGTTTCTCTAACTGGCTGGCTATTAAAATTGTATAACTGATAATGTGAAGCAAAATTATGTGAGCACCCAGCCCCGACCTTGCTTTCTTGCATTATCACATACAATTCCGTCCCATATATCCCTCCACCAACACCATCTATTTCCTGATATCACCTCAGAAATCCTATATTATACAAGCTCAATTTTCTGTTTTTAGCATTAAGGCAAAATTAAAAGAACATGCACGGGGCATAATTCCAACCTCTCAAACAGTAGACTCAGACTTTCTGGCAGTCTCAGCCTTCTTTGAGAGTCTATAAAAACCATGGACCTTCCTCCCAGAACAAAAGGCACATACTGTAATGTTTTACATAGAATTTCAGGGGATTCCTGTGTCCCCAGACTGCTGCAAGTCTCACCCACCCAAGGTGATCCGACACCCACCTCCCAAGCTTCCTTCCACTCTATACTCACTATGCAGCATCACACCCAGAGCACGTGTTTCTCTTGGCATTGTAGCTCCTAGGTTTTCTCTGCTGGACACTTTTCTCTTTCCCCCTCCTGACACTTTTGCTAAGTGTGAGCTATATACTCAACTAATAGACAGTGACTGCAAAAGCCCCTCAGAGGCCCCTCCCTTGCAGAGTGCTGCAGAAATGGGCTGAGGGGCATGTGCAAGGCCAGAATGCCGTGAAGGCTCACCAGCCAGAGCCAGCCGCACTGTCTTCCAGCTCCACTGCCAATAGCCCTCCCGTCTTACAATCACTTCTGCAAAATGACGTCTTCCAAAACTGAGCTGCAAGACATATTTGCACATCTTGAAAGTGATGCTGGGAGGTAGGAGGGTAGAGGGACAGCCAGGGTGGATTCAAGTCTTCACCGCACCGCTAGCTAGCTGGGTGACCTTAGGAAATTTCTTAACTTCTCTGAGCCTCAG